CATCATTTAGCTGGTTCAAAGATTCTGAATAAATCATTTATGTTGTGACATATTACTTCTATCAGTGTACATGCAAGCATTTCTTCTTTTCTTTCTCTCTCTCTTTCCTTTCTTTCTTTCTTTCTTCCTTTTTTGAATTTATTCAATTATTTATTTATTTAGTTATCCGTTTATTGTAATTTGGTCCTTCGCTCGTTCATCCATTAACAAATTATATCGTATTTTCTTCCATTTAAATATACACCCACATGTATAAACATACATACACACATGCACACTTATACACACACAAACACACATAAACACGTGTTTATGTATGCTACTATGTGTGCACGCATACAAACAGTGACCGATCCAGGAGGAATGTGGTAATGCCTCCAGCCAACAGAGTATAAAGATGATAAACAAGGGAGATTCCGTCTAAAGTATAGCAAGAAAGTAAACGAAAATTACCAAATAGGATCATTAACTTTAGAATTTTAAAATCCTCCCCAACACCTCAAAATTCATGGCCCACCATTATATACATACTAACAAAACTAAACGCACATACACAACTACAATAAACAACACACATACACACACGCGCACACACACACACACACATACATACGCACACACGCCCACAGAAACACGTGTTTGAATATTTAATTTCCAGCAACTATATTTCAGAAGGGTTCTGTCGAAAAAGCTAAAAAAGTCGGAATGTATATGAGGCAAAAAGAGAGCCATGTCAAAATGTCGTAACGGTCGCTATGTCGAAATCTCAATATTGTTGTGTGCGAGTTTATGTTTTTTTGTGTGTGTGTGTGTTTGTGTGTGGGGGTGTGTGTGTTGGCGTGTCTCTATGAATATTTTGTATGCGTATGTGTATGTGTAAGTATGTGGTGTAAAAATGTATGTGTGTGTGTGTTTGCGTCTCGGTTTGTGTTAGTGTATGTGTGTGCAGTAGGTTTCTGTGTGGCCTGTGCTTTTATGTATGTGCATGTGTGGTTCAGTGTCTCTGTGTGTGTGCTGTGTGTGTGTGCTGTGTGTGTGTGCTGTGTGTGTGTTGTGTGTGTGTGTGTGCGTTTTAAGCCGATCAAAATTTATTAGTGTGTTGCGTTTTTGGCTGAAATGTAAGCGCCAACATGTGCCAGCCAGTTTCACATATATCTTCGTTATTCACGGAGTTATTTTTTTTCTAGTCCATTTAATTTGATGTTTGTCCAGCTTTAATTTCAACATGTTTGTGTGGAGATCGTGCTTTGAAAGTCTAATAAATCATTGACGGTGTTGACACTTAGTCCAGGTATAAACTTACACGTCTGTGTGCGTGTGTGTATGTGTGTGTTTGTGTGTGTGTGTGCGCGTGTGTGTGTGTGTGTGCTCTTAATAAACGCATATTTCAAATCGAATAAATTGAAACAGGCATATAAAAAATTTTAAAATGAAACTGCATAAAGGTCGAGAATAAACGCTGGAATAAAAATTGAAAAAAAAAATAATTTACTATATGTCGGGCACGTGTTGCGACTTCAAATACGATGGAGATAACAACAACATTATGGGCCATCCTCCGGCGTTGAAATGAAGCTTAGCAGCTATTTGTCACAATTTCAAGTCGGGGAAAATTTCGTTTTATTTCATCGCTTCGAAACAAAATTTTTTAACCTTTTGAAAAGAACTTTTTCGAAACTTTTGTCAAATTTTTTTATTGTAATTTATGGCCTTCTGAATTTTACACACGTAAGATGGGAATGTTTTATTGTGGAGTCATGTCTCGTTGGAATTATTTTTCACGTCAGATAGCAGAACTATCGACCATTTGTTTTCCACGTCTTTCCAGCTCTCTAGACTCTAAATAACGCGGAACAAATGTAGGTGCTCTTTAAATATTAACCAGCTCTTTGCTTTTGGTTGCTAGGCTGAAATAAAAACTATCATATGAAAAAGTTTTGTAAGATAAAAAAAAACCTATATAATAATTTCTCTCATAGCAAATACAATTATTTTTTGATAACGTTGTTTGTAAATAAGAATATGTACACACATACAAAAAAAACTGGCAAAAAACAACAAAAAACACATTTAACAATGAATAAAAAACTAAAATATGACAGATTGATTGAGTTTGGCATGACACGAGGAAATTTGCAATCTTTGCTTTAAAGAACGAAGATGTCAAACCTCTGACACTGATTTTTAGCGATTTTTAGAATAACATTAAGAGAATGAAAAAATTTGTTTGATAGATAATATTGCCATTTTCCTGACAAGGGGAATTCTTGAAAAATTGTGTGTAAATACGAAAGTTAGTTTTTTCTTGTGTCTCAAAGCCTGTACACTATCTACAAGACACACACACACATACACACACACAAACAAACACACACACAAACACACACACATCATAGTCTACATCAGATATTCATCATTTCATCACATGCTGTTTAAACATCAAACAACGGACAGAGGCACGCACGGATGAAAAGAGAAGTCGCAAAGGGTCGAATTAATTTGCTCTGGCCCGAAGTTTTAACGCACGTAACAATATTTAAATAATTTTTCTGAAAGTGAATTTTTGATGGCGATGGCTGAACTTGCGTGAAATATAATTGTGATCTGAGTTTTTGCTACGTTTGAGATTATATGCAAACATCAAGCACTAGTATGTGGTACAAATTTATAAGGTTTTTTTAGTCCAGTTTGCTCAGTTTTGTTTCTATGTCTTTAACTCTTTACATTCAAAAGTTGTAAAATACGCTACAGTTAAGTTTTAAAATAATGTAAACATTTTAATTAAATTAAGTTTTAAACAATTTAATTTGAATTCGTAGCATCAGTTCCAAAGTTTTTCAACATTTATCTCATAATTTTAATTCATGGGATAATTCCAAACGCACCAAAAGGCAGCATGGAAATTAACCCAATACACGCTAACATAAATGATTCACAACAATGCATACTAACGAACGAATACACCACACACACACACACCACACACACACACATACATACATACATAATGACATAAACATACACGTACACACATACATATACATACACACAAACACGTACCCACACACTCATTCGCGAACATTACTGACACGATAGCATGAACTGGATAATTGGCAGTTCCGTAAGATGTTACATCGCATTTAAAGGACACTCCATTTATTTAACGTTAAAAATAATTTAGTTTTTCATTCTAATATTTTCTGTTCTATAGCAAACATGAAAAATAGTGACTTGTATTACAAAAAAATAACAATTTTAATAAAAAAAAAAACTTAAGGTACAAAAAATAAAAACCATTTTAAGAACATAGCAACTTATAAATACAAAAAACTAATTTAAACGTTAAGGGACATACAAACATTTTTTTTCCATCTCTACAAGTGCAATGCTTAACCTTTCCAGCTGCATCTCCTAAAACTGGAACTATCAACCCATTGTGGGCGATTGACGATAATCTATTTGCATACACATGTTGAACCAAAATCATCCAAACACCAAAATCGCAATTAACATAAAAAAAGCTCACCATTTTGAAAATTTGAAAACCACCTTTCAACCTCAAAATTTTCGACCTGTTTTGTTGTCTAATTTACGTTTAACTAAACATCTCCCTCTCTTTGTTGTCAGCAGTATTTCCATTTAAAGACAATGAAACTCTTTGTTTTAGCAGAAATAGAGCATTGTTTCGTGTCGAAAATCGTCAAAAGTGAATTTGAAAAACAAAAAAGAAAAACACTCGTAAAAATTTTGGCCACCCGTCACAGTTTAAACATTTTTAAAATTTTAGCTTACGTTTCCGTCAAATTTATTTTTATTTTAGAAATATATAAACATTTTTGTATGTATCTCGATATTTTGTATTTGTATTTATGCTATAATATATTGATAGGTAAATATGAATATGCGTTTTTATCTGTTTTTGTGTATGAGTATACATTTGCATACAATGAGACATACAAACAATCAAAACATACAGACAAACAGAACATGCAAACAAGCAAACAAAACATACAAAACATACATACAAACAGAACATACAAATAAATATAGTGACGGATGTTGCATGCGAAAATAATCTAAAACCAACAAAACAGTGGAACAATAAATCAGCAATACGGTGACATATAATTCATTACACGTAAGGTTGGTACATACAAACAAACACACATACATACATACATACATACATACATACATACGTACATACATATATACATCGATGGAATTCTTGCCAATATGTATCGAGGTTCTCGGCCCGATGGACCCCAACACCCTTAAATTTCTTAAGGCAATATGTAAAATGATCAGCGTCAGATCAGGTGACAGCAGGGAACTGTTTTTCGCAACTAACCACAACAGTACAAACAATAATAATAACATTAATAACAATAATACTAATAACATTAACAACAATAACAACTACAACAATAATAATAATAATAATAATAAGAATAATAATAAAAAAATAATGATAACAATAATGATGATTAAGATTAGAGTTACGTACATAATAAACAAGTTAACGACTACAATGATGATGCAACACAGATGCCAATTTTGAAACTTTTAATACTATGATAGGACAAGATGACGATGACAACTCTTCTAAAAACATTTAAATAACTATTTCATTTCACTCTATTTAAATAATTATTTTATTTTATTCTGTTCAAATGATTATTTCATTTTATTTCATTATGTTTTTCAGAAATAATCAACCACATCTAATGGCACACAGATCTGCACATTAAAAAGGCATTACATGTTATAAGACGGCATGTCACTGCAACAACAGGGGTCCCAGACACTTTCACCATTTTACCATCTCGCTACCCATAACTGTTTAAATAAGTTAAATTCCATCCTCCCACTTTATTATCACAAAAAAATTATTGTATTGTGACCTTGATGAATCACTTCAACTACCCGTATACAGATTCTAGGCGTATTCTATGCAGATAGAATTTCAACAACGATGATGATGACGACAATGACGATGGTCAAATTATTATATGATCAAGGAAAGCATAAATAAAATTCAGTGATCCATTAAGATGACAATCATTTGTTTTTGGGACCATCGTAGTAGCAAAGAAATCTGTTTTTCTGTATGTGTGTGTGTGTGTGTGTGATTAAGTGTGTGTGTATGTGTATATATGTTTGTATATAAAAGTGTTTTGTGTGTGACTTCATTTTTTACTTATGTGTGTGTGTCTATATACAAAAAACTTTGAAGTGAAGTGGATTTTTTGGTGTAGTTAGGAAGATATGTCTATGTGAATGTCTGTCTGTGTGAATGTCTGTCTGTGTGTGTGCGTGTGTGTTTATGTGTGTGAGAAAGAAAGAGAATGTTTGTATAACTGTGTTTGTGAGTGTGTTAACGTCATATGTGTTATATAATATGAAAACTAGATGTATAAACATTGAATGGAATTTAATGTTTTGAACATTTTTCAAATGAAAAATTAAAAGGATCGAATAGAGAAAAATTTATCGTTTTTGAAATATAAAATCGTTGAACCATTTTTAAAATAAACAGAAATAGTATTTCTATGGCTTTAGGAAGGACAAAACGTCGGAGAATAAAAAATATGACATACAAAATTAATACACTTCATTTAAAAAAATTGTCCGAATTTTGAATATGTAATGAAATTAAAATGCCTAATGAATAGATGAAAATAAAGATAAAATAACCTAAAATAAAACAAAATTCATGACAAAAAACTCAAAATTTTCAAAAAAAAACCCAAGCCCTACCTTTCCATAGAGATGCACATGAGGGTGATTACACTGGAGAAAACAAACACGGGTTGAGCCATGTACGTGAAAGAACACAACCTATCAGAAACTAACCCCCCTCCGCCGCCTCCCCAGCCACTTGTCGTGTATTCCACCAGCTTCAAGGGCATCACAAACGTCGCCACAAGAACGTCGGAAGCTGCCAAGTTGACGATGTAGCAGTTGGTGATTGTCCGCATGTGGCAGTTGCGAAGAATGACCCATATGATGAGTAGGTTGCCGATGATGGCGATCGAGATGATGATGACGTAGATGACGATGAATAAATACCTGATGGCGTCTATCTGAGTGTAATCCAAGTATTCAATGACGTGCTGTCCGTTTGTCGCGCTGTGTGTGGTGACGTTTGTCACGTTTTTGTGGCTGCTGCTGTCGTCGTCGTAGCAATTGTAGTTGTAAGATTTGTTGTCATTGTAGTGAATGTTACAAAGTGTGATGCTGTTGTTGCTGACGCTGCTGATGTTATTGTTATTAACGTAAGAAATTTTGTGATTGTTGTCGTAAGAGAAGTAGCTTTCGGCGCCACCATTCAAAAATTGTTCATAGCTGAACATGGGACTGAAAGGCTTTGATGTATTCAGTGATGATGAAGGAAGAAAACTTGCAAGAGTAGTAGTAGCAGCTGCAGTGGTAACGTCGTCAGCTGTAGTAGTATCAGTAGTAGTAATAGTTGTAGCGGTAATGGTAGTAGCAGTAGTAGCCAAAATGACGTCACTTTCATTGAAATACATTTCGAGTTTGAATTCGATTTTATTTTCCAAATTTATAAAAAGGCAATTGTTATCTAAAATGATAACGGAAACATATGAAATTAAATAAAATTTTGATAACTTATGAATTTTTATTTCAAAAAATTATTAACGTAAATTTATTTTATATTAAAAAATAAGTGATGAAAATATTTTCCAATTCGTGTTGTCTGCAGCTTGCTTTTATAGGGAACGATGTCTGTGCTAATACTACAAAAATGCAGAGCCATACAAACTATATGGCACGCACGTTCAAATTATAAATGAATGAATGAATGAATGAATGAATGAATGAATGAATGAATGAATGAATGAATGAATGAATGAATGAATGAATGAATGAATGAATGAATGAATGAATGAATGAATGAATGAATGAATGAATGAATGAATGAATGAATGAATGAATGAATGAATGAATGAATGAATGAATGAATGAATGAATGAATGAATGAATGAATGAATGAATGAATGAATGAATGAATGAATGAATGAATGAATGAATGAATGAATGAATGAATGAATGAATGAATGAATGAATGAATGAATGAATGAATGAATGAATGAATGAATGAATGAATGAATGAATGAATGAATGAATGAATGAATGAATGAATGAATGAATGAATGAATGAATGAATGAATGACTGAATGAATGAATAATTGAATGAATTAACGAACGAACGAATGAATGAACAACAAGAACAGCAACAACGACCACAACAACAGCAGCTGCAAAAACAACAACAACTACCGCAATAACAACATGAACAAAAACAACAACAGCAGCAGTAGCAGCAACAACAATGTAGTTGTTTTTCATAAACAGCAAGATCGCCATCATCAAAACTAATAACAATATAAAAACAGACACAAACACACGCGCGCGTGCACGGGCGCACACACATGCACACGGACACACACACACACATCCAAACGGATAATTTCGCGAATGCAACCGAATTATCATTTCAACAACATTTAAAATGACTGAACCTCAAAGAACGCACTAGAAAAATTAATTAAATCCGTATTTTTGTTAATTTGCCTACTAAATTAATTGTTATTTTTTAATTAGATAAAATTTTAATTTGAAATTACAAAAAAATAATATAATAAACATTTAGAAATTTTAAATTAATGAATATTCATGGTTTTTTACTAGGAGTAAGCTTTCTGCAACTAAGTTCAAATTACTATGGATTACTTTATTAAAATTTCTCAAATTGTTTTATTAGCTTAAATACACACGGGCGCGCGCACACACTCACACACACAAAGACACGCACACAGACACACACACAGACACGCACACATACACGCACACACACGTTCTATCTTTCTCTCTCTATCACACACACCACACACACGCACACGAACACATGTATACTTGATGTTAATGTGATATACTATACTTATATTAATGTGATATTTTGCTGAATAAAAGATTGTTTCAATCAATACTGACTCTCCCCTTTCTCTCTCTCTCTCTCTTTCTCTCTCTCTCTCTCCTCCAGAGCACGCACGCACACACATCTATATATACGTGGGTGGCATTTTTATTTTAATTAAAAATTTAAATATTGTTTATTAAGCGGTCTTTATAAGTTTAATGAACTAATTTTTTTTGTTGAAAAGAAATTAAAGGCCTCTAGTCTTGCGTTGAAGTGCCCGGGTTCGAATCCCCGTCTATCAGAAACATGAGTGGGATAAGCGTTTTTACGTGTGTGTGTGTTTGTGTGCGTGTCTTGTGTGTGTGTGCGTGCGTGTGTGCGTGTGTGGGTGTGTGTGAATGTGCGTCATTTAAATAAACACACAAATAAGCCCAACTACTAAGGTTTAGTCGTTTAAAAGTATCGTTCTCTTTTGACCACACAAACACGTACACTGCATTGTGCGTCGCTGCTTGCAAACAATAAATAAGAAGATGGGTGATTTCTATTGCCTTCTTTTACTTTATATACTATAATAAAAAATAATAATTATATTATATTATTTATTATTATTATTGTTGTTGTTATTATTATTATCACTTCAACGCAAGACTAGAGGCCTTTAACCATTGCGCTAAAACCTTTAATATCTTTTATCTTTTAACATAAAAAATAATAACAATAATAATAATATTTTTATTATTATTATTATTATGTTATGGTGGTGGGTATGTATTGGATCGTAAAGTTAACGTTGATTTATGTTTTACCGATAAACTATGCAGATTAATTCAAGATGAAAGCCCAACGCCCTGCTATTTATTTCGTTATTTTTTCTCCTAATTTCGTTTTGTTTCTTATACTATGGTAGAGCGAGTTACACATACGAAAACCAATCTGTTTGTAAAATTCATTGAGGAGCGCTGTTGAACATCGCGGAAATAGCGCTTTATAAACTAATCGATTGATTGATAGATTGATTGATTGATTATAATTATTCATTATTTGGATTTAAATTTAATTTTGATTTCTAATATTTATATCATTAATTTATTAACTAGTATTACTTCCAATTATTTTGCTCGTTAAAGATTTCAATTTTCAAACGTAATAATTCATTTTTATTTTTGATAACAAAAGCCAACGATTGAATAACATCATATGTATGTGTGTATGTGTGTGGCTTGTGTGTGTGTGTTTGTGTGTGTGTAAACATGTACATACATTATTTTATTGCTAGAGAACATAGTCTAAAAGACATTTTTTCAAAATTAATGAACAAAATTTAAACGGATATAATGAAGATAAATTAAGAAAATTATTTCTTTAAAGACAACTTTTTGCCCACCATTATATATATATATATATATATATATATATAGTAAGTTATGAAATCTACCGAATTTCTAGAGTAGGATAGTTTGCTGTGCATGTCAGAATGTTCCATATATTGGATAAACTACAACATCGCTAACTAGACGTCTTACCATGCACAAAAGAGAAGGTTCTATAAAACCACACTTAGAACACGCACATGATGTTGAAATTACAAGATAAATCCTGAACAACAACACCAAAATAATGTACTCTAATTCCAGCCACTCCTATCTAAAATTAGCCCAAGCCATTCTCATCTACATAAAACAACCCCCAATGAACAAACAACAAAAGATTTCAACCATACTCACGACAATAAAGACAATAATAAAATATACTAATAACACCAATGATACCGATGAAGACACTGAAGAAAGCAACATTGACCAAGGAACAAGTAAGAAAGACCAAAACAATGAAACATTAGACCGAAGCTATAAAACCCAACACCAAAGTAATTAACCAGAACAAAGAAACCACTTAATCACTTAATAAAGAAGATATTAAATTAACAAAGTCCCCACCAACAACAAATGCAAATCACAGGAACAAACGCCAGCGTTATACAAATTTCCTATCTAAACTGAAGCAAGTACTGGGTTATACAAATTCTCTAGATAAACTGCAACAAGTGCTGAAGATGATTGAAAAATCAAAATAGGTCCTATACACTCGAGAATGAATTGGTAAACTGTATATTACTTTAATTTTAATAAAATGAGTAAGGACGACAAGAATTTGGTTAAAAGTATTGAGAAATGTAAGAAAAAAACTATCCAACGCTAGAAATTTGGTAGATTTCATAAATTACTACATTAATTATGGTCTTTTACCAGCATATATATATATATATACATATATATATATATATATAAACATATATATATATATATATATATATATATATATATAAACAAAGATATGAACAATAGATGAACTGAAAAGTATATAACAAAAAATATTAATTCAAGCGCATTGAAATAAAAAAGACGTGTGTATATATATGTGTGTGTGTGCGTGCGTGTGTGTTGTGTGTGTGTTGTGTGTGTGTGTGTGTGTGTGGTGTGTGTGTGTATGTGTGTAACAATGTAATAATATCTTTTACCGTCATAATAAAAAATGTAATAACAGATATTGTTATTATAGTCCAAATAGTATGAATATAATGATGATAACAATAACAAAATGTTTGTTATTATTGTTTTTTTTATCAATTTTTACCAGTAAAAAAACAGAATAAAATAAATAAAAACATGATGCGATACATACAGCATTTGATTTTGTGTTGTTTATATTGACAATTAACAACAAAACATACACAACACACGCACACAAACAAATACATACAAACAAACACACATACAAACACAGGTATACATGCACACACACGCATATGCACATATCAATAACTTAAAAATTTTAAAACTATACACATATATATATATATATATAACGTTTAAGTTTTTATATTTATATGATCCATGAATTAGCCCCAAGAAAATTTTTAATTTTTGTACAATTAGTTCTTCAATTTTAAATCTTGACCTGAAATTTTTAACAAATTTAAAAGCTCAAAATTTGGGTTCTCAAAAAAAAATTTGGATACAAGCCTTTGTCGTGGAATATAAAAAAACACCAATATATGCCAAGCAACAGAGTGTACAGAGAATACAAAAATACAACATTTAGACATTTAGACATGAAGGGACAGGACAGCTTACATATATGAATCTATACAGACATTTTTTTATTTGACAATAAATATCGATAAACTACCTATACAAATACAATTTTTTTATTTGACTACAGGTATAGATACAATACCGTTACAAATATACAAACAAATAAGCAAGCATACATATATACAAACATTTATAGACATACGTGCATACATACATACATACAATATGTACATTATATGTGCGTTTATTAGCAATATTGGATGGTTATTGAATCCAATTGTGAGGATATAAAATAATAATAAAAATAAATAAAAGATTATAATAATGAATTGTAATAATAATAAGCCAAATAATAATAACGACATCTATAACAACAGTGAAAATTGGATATTATTTTTTAATATAAGTATTAAGTATTACTAATATTAAATATGAATATATTAATTATTATATTAATAACAATATTAATAAAAATCTTGTAGCTGTTTTTATTATTACTATTATTATCATATTGAAACATTGGAAGTTTTAACGATTTTCAAAACTAATATGCAGTAATATAATTTTTATAAAAAAAAGCATATTAATTTTATTATCATAATGAAGAATGATATAGCGTGTACATTTTGATTTGCAAGCGTGTTTCAGTTACGTTACGTCACACTAGCTGGTCGAAAACTTCATCATCCCTATCGTCTTCATCCTCATCGTCGTCATCGTCTGCAACATTTGCAGCATTATCATCATCAGCGACCACATCTTCCAGATCGCTATCGACGACGGTGGTTGTCGTCATGTGGTAGCTGCCGCTCCCCTTACGCGAAGATGACGTCATAATGGAGGATTTGAAAACTTTTCGAGGTTCCTGATAATCATTGCTTCCAGAAGTTTTCCACACCACGTTACAGTCGTCATCGTCGTCATCGTCGTTAACGTCATTTTTGTATTTCAAACTTTTTCCTGAACTATCGTCACTATTCCACGTGAGAGGGCGTTTGTTGAGGTATGTTGTCGGAGAGTGTCGAAATTCTATTGGCTGTACGGGGGTGGGGGGTCTTTTAAGGCGGTTCAATGAGCTGTCAATTAGTTCAAGGTCAAGGTAATTTCCTTTCTGAGCCAGCAGGCCTTCTAACCTTAATTTGATCTCGTTGAATGTCGGACGCTTGTCCGGACTCTCCAGCCAACACTCGCGCATCAGGTTATAGCTAGTGGTGTGGAATATTGGCATAAAATTAACATAAAATTTTAATTAACATGACTTAAATTAGCATAAATTAGTTTGTTGTTGTTGTTGATTAACGTAAGATGAGTTTATTGTTTTATCAGATATTTGCAAGGAATCACGTGATTGTATACGTATTAATACATGCTAAGTAAGAACATTTCTGAATTTAAAAAAAGCTTCTCGATTTAAATTCTAGCAAACATCCTAACCGGCAATAAATAAAACAAAATGAATAGAATAAAATAACCGTTTTGAAATCAAATTGTGTTTAAATATTTCAAAAACTAGAACGAACAGTTCGCACGAGCAGTTGGCTGGTTTCTTCATCCTGAATCCATCACAGAGCAGCCTGTACAGATCGATCAGGGCTATGTCGGGGTAGGGAGTCGAACCTTATGAATATTCATTTTATTATTATTATAAATGGGCAAACATTATGAATATTATTATTATTATTATTGTTATTATTATTATTATTATGGCAAACATTATGAATAATCATTTTATTATTATTATAAATGGGCGAACCTTATGAATTTTATTAATCACGTTATTTTATTTTATTTATTATTAATGGGCGAACCTTATGAGTATTCATATAATTATAATTATTATTAATGAGCGAACCTTATGAATATTCATTTTATTATTAATATTAATGTGCGGAGTGACGGTGTAATTGTTGAATTGCCAGGCAGTTTTGGCGGAGTAATCGGATTCGAATGCAAGGAAAGGAAGGAAGATATATATATTCATAGGTGTTTGTTGCCATTAAAATTCTCATCCATTTGATTGAAATTCAAATAGAAATCAGCGAAACGCAAACCCAGCGTCGTTATCTCCCAGAGTAAAACTCCATACGACCAAACGTCACTCTGAGTGGTGAATATCCTATCGCGAATAGACTCTAAGGCCATCCACTTCAATGGCAGCCTACCATTGGTCAGTTTGCAGTACTGGTCACCATTTTGGACGATGCGGGCTAGCCCGAAATCGCAGAGTTTAACGATTTTGTTGCTGCTGACGAGAACATTTCGCGCGGCCACATCTCTGTGGACGTACTTTTTATCGGAGATGAATTCCTGGTTGGGTGGGTGATGTATGGTGTGAAATTATTCTTACTATATTATTATTTATTATAATTAAAATTATTATTCATCATATTTATTGTTATATATATTTGTGTGATATTTTTTAAATATTTTATTATGAAAAATATATTTTCTTACCATAGCTACGGAAATTTGTCTAGCAAACGATAGAAGGTCCGTAGCGCTGATGGACCATGATTCTTTGGTGCCGGTCAAATGGTCCAGAGGGCAGTAGTCCATCTCCACCCCGTGGTTCGTCCGCCGCATTTCTCCCTCTAAACGGCATTTCCTAAAAAAAACATGTTCGTTCGTTCACTCTTTCGTTCGTTCTTTTGTTCATTCATTTATTCATTTTGTAATAAAAACGGCATTTTCTGGGAAAAAATCTTTGTTTGTCCGTTTGTTCGTTCGTTCTTTTGTTCATTCATTTATTCTGACGTTCGTTCGTTTGTTCATTTGTTTGTTTGTTCATTTATTTATTTTAATAGTTAATCATTTATTAATTCATTCATTCCTTCTTAATTTTATTTAATTTTATAAAAACATATCATGGATCACTCACTACAACTATAAAACGTTCTGTTATTTTTCATATTTTACTATTTGTAATCATAATGACGATGACGAAATTGATGATGACAAAGAAGATGATGATGATGATGATGACTAAGAAGGAGATGATGATGACGATGACGTGGTGATGATGTTAATGAAGAGGACGGTAAAGATGATGACGACGACGACGATGTCTTGGTGAGGATGTTGATAATATTAAGAGAATTGAAGTTTAAAGTTCAAAATTTCGTCGCATAAGAAACATGACATCTGGCGTTTTTCTGACATTAACAATATCAATATATGAAAAAAATTTTCAATGACATCAAGAAACACGCACATTCACACACATACCTACACCCACACACACCCATAAACACCCCCACACACACACCCACCCACGCACACAACACACACACACATACACACGACCACAAACACACACATATCTACAAACACCAACGCAAACACACACATAAACATACACTCACATACATTAACGTGCGTGTAGATGTTATCGCTATCATATATATATATATATACATATATATATATATATATATATATATATATATATATATATATATATACATATTTACATATATATTTTCTATGTTATTCCATTATGATATATTGAAATAAACATTTTATATAATTAATATCCACAATGTTAAAACATTATCTGATAAGTTGGTGTCAATTAACTTGTAACGATTATATGAAGAGGATAATTATAGATTGCCCATTCTTTCATTCAGTCATTCATTTATTTATTTATTTATTCATTCGTTCATTTATTCATTTATTCCTTCATTCACTCACTCGTTCACTCGTCTTACTGACTAAACCAGCATGTGTGTTTCATCTCATACGCACTCTGACAATTTATATAGCGCAGATTTCTCACTCATTCATTCATTCACTAACTCATTTTTTCATTCTCTCACTCATTCTCTCACTCATTCACTCACTTATCCTACCTACGTTCGCTGATAATTTATATAACGCTGTGATTTCTCAGAGTTTGAGAGTTGAAGAAAGAAAATTTTGGCGACGCTATGTCTGTGATGTATGTCCAATAATTCTTTTCATCTTCTGTTTTTCATAAGATTTTTTTGCCATTCTATGGTTATTGTCTTTCTTTTTGTGAGTTTTTGCTGTTTTAGCAATTCTTAAATATGTCTAAAAATGAATTTTTCATTGTTTATGCAATCTTAAATATTCTTAAAAATTTTTAAATAATGAATTCACAGTTCTAGATTTGTGTATTTATGGGAATATGTATGTATGTACGCACACAAGTATGTGGATGTACGTGTGTGTATGTGCAAGTATGTCTGTGTGTCATGGATGTAAATGTGTACGCATGTGTGTGTGTGTGTGCGTGTGTGTAATGTGTGTGTGTGTGTGATGTGTGTGTGTGTGTGTGTGGAAAAACCAACTGTAGAAATGACTGGAGGTTCCCAAATGGCATGTACTCCATGATAAGGGCAATGGGATCTTTAAGGGTGCAGGCGCCCACGATGGAGACGATGTTGTTGTGTCGACCGATTGTTTTCATCAGCTGGATCTCCCTCAACAATTCTTCCTTGTACGATGGCAGTACATCGCCTAGTTGTCAGTTTGTTTGCTTGTTTTTTGTTCGTTCGTTTGTTCGTTCGTTTGTTTGTTTGTTCGTTCGTTTGTTCGTTCGTTTGTTTGTTTGTTTGTTTGTTCGTTTGTTATTTTATTATTCTTATTTCTGTTGGTGTTGTTGTTATTTATTTTTATTAAAATTCAATAAATAAAAATTTAGCTAATGAATAAAAATTAAAATATTTAAATTAGCACAGGCAAACAAAGTGTCCATCTAACCTTTTATAACCTTGATAGCAACTTGTTGACTTCTATAGTAGCCCGTCATAACTAGGCCGAAAGCGCCCTGACCTATTTCGACCCCGAGGGTAACTTCCCTGGCGTCCAGTTCCCACTCATCGTGGTGCGCTGCACCACTGCTGCTCTGATGCTGAAGGCTGTCTTCTTTCGTGTACGTGATTGTTACTGTTTATTGTGGTTGGTTGTGGTTGGCTGTGGCTGGTTGTGGTTGGTTGGGGTGAATGTATTCAAATGGTTTCAAATTTTTAAATTGGAAACCCAAATGAGAGTTCCAATTTTCGACTATTCGACAAATTTTTCCAAATTTTTCCAAATTTTAAAAACTCCAGGGTTTGGTATAAAAAAATTGTTTGGTGCTGAGTGTGATTTTAGATTATACTGATGTTATGATGTGATGTTAAAAATGAAAATGTGAGGCGATGATGATAATGATGATCTGCTGTAGTTATGATAATGATAGTTGCGATAACGACAAAGACGATGATGTTGATAATGATGACAATGACCGCGATATTGTTGATGAATGATGATGATGATGATGATAATGATGATGATGATGATGACGATAACGATGATGTAATAAGAAGTTTGAGTAATGTTTTTAAAAATCAAGTTGGACGTTTTTTTTTGAAAAAACTTGAAAGATGAAAAGTTGAGCTCCGTGTTAATCATGATTAGAAAACAACGCAACTTAATTAATCATCGGCTTTACAGGCACCATCAAAATCATCTTCACCATCGCACGCAATCATCACCGCCATAGAGGTCAAACTCTAAGGTCAAACTTCAAGGTCAAACCTCCTGGGGCAGATTTATAACTATTCTTCTTAGCCAGCAACGTCTTCTTTAAAAGTTTCGTATGCACTCGACTGCACTTGTTAAAGAAGAAGGCGACAAGGACGACAGCAGTAACCAGTATAACCACTGCACTCACCATCACGACAACCAATTGCATTGGAGGATGCTGTTGATGTGGAGGCACAATCCCCATTTTGAGACCTTTGTTAGGGGGGTGGGGGGTAGAGGGTAAAACGTTTTTTATTTTTATATCGAGGTTTGAGAAATTTTTTGTGAAAAATGTTTTGAGGAATTGAAATTAATTACAGATTAGAGCAGTAACATTAAAAAATTACGATAATGCTAACGATGAAAATAACAATTTAATCTATGTGGCGCTAACTTTGAAACGTAGAGGCACATGTGGCGTTTTCAGTAGCTGCTCTGGACACGTTGAGGCGAAGGTTGTCGAAGATGAGTGCATTACCTTTCAGGTGACACTTGACCTTTCGATGTTAATTAATTAATTATAATAAGGTGAGTTGCAAGGTCAAAGTTTATATTATTATAACCAAAATACAAGGTTGCTAGGGTAGTAGTAATAGTTGTATCAAGGGTAGTAATAATAATCTTGTAGTGTTATCTGGCAACAAACAAAAAAATAAACTTGAAAACAATTTAATCAACCCATAGTTGGTTATATAATAATGTATATAAGCACGTGTGTGTGTGTTGTGTGTGTGTGTGTGTTTGTTGGTGTGTGTGTGCGTGCGTGTGTGCGTGCGTGTGTATGTATGGCTAATTTAAAGACACAACTAGTTTCTTGACCAGACGAAACACGCTGAAAGAAACTAGGATATAATCTATATCATTATCTTACGGCGTGCTGGTTGTGCTTGTTTAAAAAAAAGACTTGATTATGTGCGAGGAAAAATATTGAAAGCATAATTACGTTTGAAAAAAAACACACACGCTTACATACAAACATTCACACAAACACACACAAAAATGCTGCTCATAAAAAACACACATACACACAAACACAATTACATTTGCGTAAGCAAACATTCATACATACAGACACACACCAACGTATACATTCACACATACAGATACATACATACACTACACACATACAAACAAACAAACAACCAAACACACATATACAAACACACACATACCTTAACATCGTAAACTACGTTGGGCAAAACCTCGAGATGCAGTTTATTTGTATCGGGGTAGAACATCTGCGACCTTGGACCAGTCGGTGATATGAAGGTAACTTTAACTACATTGTGGCTGTACTCGTCATCGTCGCCATCATCCTCTCCATCATCATTATCATCGCCATCACCATGATCACCATCGTTATCATCACTGCCGTTGTTGTTGTTGTTGTTGTCGTCATCGTAAACAACTGCTACGTTATGACCTGATTTAATGTCAAGGTCACTATTCGGTGGTGGTGATGATGGTGGCAGCACTGATGACGATGATGGTGGTGATGATGATGTTGTTGTTGATGATGATGCTACTAAGGGTGGTGATGATGATGATAGTGAGTATAACGCGTTTATAAGGCCTCTTTTAACGTTATTTCTGCTAGCAACAGTTTTGATGTCATCTATATTATAACTATTTTTGTTATCATTTAGATTTTTATTATTGTCATCATCATCATTATTATTATTATTATTATTATTATTATCATTATTGACATCTTTATCTCTTCTCATCTTCGGTCTCATCTTCGAATTATCGTCATTCATCATTCTCTCACTCTTATCATCATCTGCATCAGCAGCTACTGCAGTTTTTAAACTCGCCGTAATCAAAGCTGATGATGGCGTAGTAGTAGTAGTAGTAGTATGTGCGACTGTGGTAGTAGTGGCGACTGTAGTAAGGATGGTTGCGGCTGAGGAAGTTGTAGTTGTTGGTGTGTATGTCCATTTGATCCAGACGTGTCCAAGATCTGTGACTTCATCGTAGTGGACACACGTGACCGCTGGGACTAGCCATGGCTCTGGTGGAAGAGGATTCGTGATGATGATGTTGACGATTAAGGTGATGATGATGACGATGATAATAATGATGATGGCGATAATGACGGTGATGATGATGATGATGCCTAAGTGGATGAATGATAACGATGATGATTAACAATTGGTATGATGATGATGATGATGATGACGAAGATGATGATTGGCTATCTATAATATTGTTCCGTGAAATACAATATTGTCTGTACGATGGGCAGCCCATTATGTCTCATTTCCAAACAATCTATCTTTCCATTCATCCATCTATCTATTCATCCATCTATCCATTCATCCATCTATCTATTCATCCATCCATCCATTCATCCATCTATCTATCTACTCATCCATCTATTTATCTCTCCATTCATCCATCCATCCATTTATTCATCTGTTTATCCATCAATTCACTCATCAATTCACCAATCAATTCACCAATCAATTCACCAATCAATTCACCAATCGATCAATCGTAGAAACCAACCCGACTGCAGAGATATATAATGTGGCACAGCGGTCAACATTTTGATATCTTCATCATCGGCCTGGTCCAAACATTTTTTGAAAGATTTACTGTAAGGTTTTCGGCAGCCAATAGTAGTGAACCAAACTTTTGGAGACCTCAACCCTTCCAGCTCCATCTCCACCCAGTACCTCGAGTTGAAAGAAAGGCCCGATATTACAAAATGACCCTGAGTTGATTTAGTGGTTGTGTAATAATTTGTTTCTCTGCTGATGTCCCCATAGTTTAGATGTATCATTAGTATGTATCAGTTGTTGGTTTAGTTTGACAGCATAAATTCTCCACTCATAATGTTATCATAATTTACGTAATAATTTCATTTATTTACTTAAAACTAGTTGCATTGGAATAGCAATTAAGCGAGCGTTCTTCAGAGGCCAAATAAGAATAATTCTCGTTGAAGCTACCTTGCCAGCTTCAAAAAAGAAATTCTTAAACATTTAAAATGAGTTTAATGGCAAGTAAGTTACCGATATTTATATTGATTATTATTACCTAAAATCTAATAACTCAGTCACTGCATAATAATATCAATAATATAATAATATCAATAGCATAATCAAATCACTTTTATTCAATCAAGAAAAACAAAGATGCATGAATGATTCGGAGATTAAAAAAAAAAGAAAATTAATTCTTGTGGACTCGACCACCGTGCATAATATTGATAATGTAATTTATTTACATTCCATGAAAAATAATAATAAAATAAACTCAAAGAACTCTTAAAAATTTTAGAAATTGAAAAATTTGAGAGGGCTCAGTTAACCTGGGGTGTGTAAGAGGTGAGTATCTGGTGCTTCAAGAGGTCAATGTCGTCACAGTGTGGGTAGGAGTCGTTGAGGTTGCACGTCTGTCTGGCGTGATGGACATTCAGTATGAGGTTACGCAGTCTTTTGTGGTTGTTGTTGCTGTTGTTGTTGTTATTATTGTTGTTGTTGTTGTTGCTGTTGTTGTTGTTGTTGTTATTTTTGTTGTTTTTATTGTTGTTGCTGTTATTATTATCATTGTTGTTGTTGTTGTTATTTTTGTTGTTTTTATTATTATTGTTGTTGTTGTTATTTTTGTTGTTGTTATTATTATTATTGTTGTTGTTATTAGTGTTCCGATTATTGTTGTTGTTTGTGTTGTTGTTGTTGTATGAGTTATTGATTTGACTTGCTTTAGAGCTGGCTTGGCGGTTGTTATTGTTATTGATGTTATCGATGTTGTTGTTGTTGTTGTCGTTGTTGTTGTTGTTGTTGTTGCTGTGGCTATCATAAAATTCTACGTGCCATGCTACATTGGCATCCAACTGAAATTGCTTGTGTTTGCGAACCACTACCTCCAACGATATAGACCTTGGTTGTGGGTGCTGTTGATGTTGTTGTATATGATTTGGTGGTTGTTGTTGATGAAATATTTGGTGATAAATTTGCTGTTGTCGATTGCTTGGTTGATTGTGAAAAATTTGAGATATGTGTTGTTGTTGTTGTTGTTGTTGCTGCTGTTGTTGTTGTTGCTGCTGCTGCTGCCTTTGTTGCTGTTGTTGTTGCCGTTGTTGTTGTGGTTTTTGACGATGTTGTTGTAAGATATGTGTTAACATTTTGAAGTTTCGGTTGTGAGTGGTGTTTCTGTGTTGTTTGTTT